GGGTCTCCCCCCTCCGCCGAATGTTCGGGGTCTGGCCGAACGCGAGGGGGCCGACTTCCTGAAGTTCGGGCCCCGCCAAAAATAATTTCAGGGCCTAAAAATATATACTTTTTTTGGAATGTTTTTGGTGTCTTCTGTAGCATGTAGAGTACATGCCTGTAAATTTTCAGGGCATTTGGTAAATCCAAAAAAAAAATGAAAAATCGCCAAAGATGGCAATGCCAAAAGCGTGTTCGCCCGCTCACTTTTTTCTTTTTTTTTCCCTTTTCCCTTTTTCTTTTTTCCTTAAACCTTTTTAGTGTGTGTGCGAGTGTCTGTGTGGTAGTCTGTGTGTTTGAGAGAGAGAGAGAGAAGGGCGGGGGGGGGGGGGGGGGGGGGGGGGGGGGGGGGGAGAGAGAGGAAGAGAGGAGGGAAGAAAGGGAGTGAGGGGGAGACTTTGAGAGACAGAGAGAGAAAGGGGGAAAGAGAGGAATGGGGAGAAGAGAGAGAGAGAGAGAGAGAGAGAGAGAGAGAGAGAGAGAGAGAGAGAGGAAGTCTCTTTTTATAAAGGGTTCCCAACGCGATCTGACGCCACTAACTGGGATCATCTCTACGAGGGGGGCCCAACCCAGGGTTGTTGTAGAGGTCGGATGCCTAGCCTGGCAGGACAACCTTCAGTCGTTGTACATTCTGATTGCCTGGACGGTCTATCGGGAATCCTACCCTCCCTAGAGTACCATTTCTATTACTATCATAGTCCCACCGCGAGTCGAACCTACGGACATGCCACCGTCTTACTGGTGAGCATGTATGCTTTTTCTACCTAGCGAGACCCCTAAGACTAGAACTCCCCCTAGGTGCACTCTTTACCATAGGCACCCCGAACTTGTCAGGGCTCGACTAGTCCACAGACAAGTGCAATGACTTGCTGTTTTCTGGTCGCCTGTAGCCTCTCTCTGTCGAGGCTGCACCATAGGTAGACAGATTTGTAATTTTGTTTGGCTGAGGGCTAACCAAGAGACCTACCTGTGAGGGAAATTCGTGAGGGACATATCTGCAAATTCGGGAAAATACAGGTCCGGTACTAACCGGATTCCCTACAGCTACCCTAACTGCGTATAGCAGGCCCGGGCTACCCTAGGACAGACAGGCCCTAAAGGCCTATTCTGTGTAGACGGTCCTATCGCCTATAGCCGGGTCCGGTAGAGGCCGAGAGGCCGAAACAGAAACGGTACCGGTCAGTCAGTCAGTCCGGTCTAGGTCAGTGTAGGCTAGAAGTAGGATGGGCACATCGGTTCAGGGCTTTTGGCAGTTAGTACCAAGTACATCGCTGCTGCGCTACGCGTGAACCGGAAGTGGTGACGGCTCAGCGTGGAAGGAGACGGGCATAGCCAGACCTTCGGAGTGCAGGCCATAGCTGGGACCTGCGCTGTACTCTGCCAGCACGCAGGGGCTGACAGAGGTCTGGGTTATCGAGGTCTGCTGGAGGCGAGAGAGATTGGTGCCCTGCTGGACCCTCCTCCGGAGTGGGGTCCCAGAGGGTTGGCGCTGCAGCCATAGCTGCAGCCTCTTCATCTCAGAGGTCATCTTGTCATGGTTTGGTGGCGCTGCTGCAGACTTCCATCCGGGAGGTCTTCTGACACTTCGTCATCATCAGATACTGTGACGCTGGTCTTCTTCTTCATCCTCTGAGTGGCGCTTGGCCTCAGAGGCCTGTTTCAGGGTGGCGCTGCCCCCAGGAGGCTGTATCTGGGTGGCGCTTGATGTTTCTGGGTCTCAGGAGGTGTCACGGGTGTTATTCAGGGTTGAGGAGTGAAGCGCTGCTCATTTCTGAGCAGCGCACTGTAGTACTGAGGTTATCCTGACAATTCGAGACTCTGAGTTTAATAAACAGTGTGAGACTGTGTTTGAACTATCATCGTTTCACTGTTCTCTGGATGTGATCTGCTCRGCTTTTCTCTATGACTGGTTGTGAGGATTGAGTGGAGTGAATTGCACTTTCAGTGTACCCTGTCATATCGCATGGTCAAGTCTTCCGCTGTGTTTATCTCTCCCAGTGCGGTGTGATACTCCTATCCTCTCCCCTTCCTTCTGTGTATGTATGGGCATATCCGGAAGTCTATGTGAGTGAGTGTTGACCTTCAGGCAACGAACAACCAGAATCATAACACAAGTCCACAGACAAGCTGTTTCCCAACTGGCAGACTCTGTGGGTGCCCTCCCCTTCTGCCAGATGCGATGTTCCCACCCATCCTACCCCTATGTATGGTACCCCACCCTATCCCTCACCCATCCTACGGTAGCTTTCGTTCAGGAGACTGCTGAAGGCTGTTAGTCGCTCTAAGCCCAGTCCCAGGGTCTCGTAAACTATCCTTGAAGCCCACCCCCAAGGAATCGTAAGTACCAGACACCATTCCAACTACTACTTCCCTTTCCACAGACTCTGCCCCTTAGACATATGCGAACCTCGGGGCAAGGGCCGCTTGAATTGTGTGCAGGGTCATCAGGTTTGATCCTGTCCCCTCTCAGACTACAGATACCCATGAGTGTTCCTAGCAGACGGGAACACGCTGACGTGCTTAGTTTTTTTTTTTTTTGTACGAAATAATCAATCAATGATCACTCAATCAGTCAATCAATTAAGTAGCTGGTGATCCAAAGTTAAAAAAAAAAAAAGTTCTAGGCTACCAGAAAGGCCCAGGACCTTTTGCCCAACCGGGACCAAAATAATTAAAAATAAAATAAATTACTTTTTGTTTTTTAATTTTAAATTTGGTAAAGAACTTCGATGTGCAATGAACCCAGATCGTGAAGACAGTCGACAACAATGCAAGCCCAGAATGTCAACCAGCTGATGATTATCAATAGTCAAAATCGTATCCAGACAGAATGAGATGAGATAATCATACACAGACGAAGAGAGAGGACGGAGATTAGACAAAGGAGAGGAAATGATTTCACGGCCCACTCCTGCTTCGGGCTCCCTCCGCGATCACCACCTCAACCATCAATAGTCTGAACGAGTATCTAAAGTAACCTCAGTGTGCCACGTGGCACGTCTAATTAGTCCCTCGTCAGCACTGGAGCAATGTTGACATGAAGACAACAGGTGCGTATCACGCTCTCTCCACAGTCCCGATCTCCTCCCGAATGACGATCACCAGTACAGCAATACAAGTCTCGTAGCCTCGCCTCGTCAGCCACAGCAGAACACGTGGCAGCAGCCACGTCAACCAATGATACACGTGGCAGCGGCCACATTAGCGATAGCGCATGGCAGCTGCCACGTCAGCATGCCAAGAAGACAGGTGCAAGCAGCCACCATGCTGGACCAGCAGCGCGTCGCCGAAGTCACAATGCCGGCGTAAGCCAGCGTCCAGCCAGTATCGCAGCGTCGAGCCAGCGTTGAAGTTAACGCGTGCAGTCAGCCTCAACGCAAGACAGAATGAATGAATGTCAAAGCCAGGGAGGTCAACGCTTAAGTAGCGTTGACTCGGGGTCTGGACCCCGGATGCTGCAACCTGTAGCCGTCCAGATCTTGAGGCAAACGAAGGCCCAGATTGGCCTTAAACTGAATTCCCTTCGGCCTGGATGCTTGTCTGGGTACCTGCGCACAACAAGTGAGTGTATCCAACCAAGGGCCTGGGCGTGGTACCTTTGACTCTACAGTTGACTTTGACCCTTGACTTTCCTGGGTGCAGTGTTTGGTCACACAGCCAAACACAACAGTCTTAGGCCTGGGTGTGTCCTGGTCACACAGCCCAGCGCAGACCAAGTTTGGTCTGCGTTGCCTGGGGCTGAGTTCTGGGCCCCAGACTACTTCTGAACAGGGTTACTGCAGATGTGTCCCCAACGCAAAAGTTGTTCAGTTTGTGTTTCTGCATAACATAGTTTTTTTTCGTTCTTTTTTTTATTTTGTTTTTTTTCGTTCTTTTTTTTATTTTTTATTTTTTGACGTTCGGGTTCAGCCGAACACGTCTCACAGAGGGGTAGAACATTCGGCCGTCCAGGTTCGGGGGTTCGGCCTGAACCGCACGCCGGTAACCCTGCTTGCAGTGTTTTTTTTTTTTTTTTTTTTTTTTTTTTTTTTGTGGGCTTTTTTTTTTTTTTTTTTTTTTTTTTTTTTTTTTTTTTTTTTTGCTGGGCCCTTCCCTGTTCCGTGCAAGGCCGGGCTACCCCCGCTCACACAAGGTGACCCGCGCGGCCCGTGCTGGTGGCCCAGACCAAAAAAAAGGGAAATTTTATTCTAGGCTGGGATCCGGAGCCCTTGACAAAAACTTTTCACATCCTTCAGTGCCCTTATATTTTTCAGCTTGTCATGTGCCCCCTTGGGATTTTCACCACATTGATTGCCCCTGAAATGTTTCAAATAATCAAGTGCCCTTGGGTTTTTCACCTGGTTAGGTCCACGCAAAGGGGGGGGTTCACCTAATCAAGTGTGGGGCAGTGGAGGTAACCAAAAAAATGTGCCAGGATGGTTCTGTAAACGAAATGTGTGTGTGTGTGTGTGTGTGTGTGTGTGTGTGTGTGTGTGTGTGTGTGTGTGTGTGTGTGTGTATTCGGACAACAACGTGCCGTGGTGGAAAAACTTCCAGGTTGTGCGCAGCCGTTTTCGATTTTCCCCTGCGCATATGAAATTTCCGGAATGAAAGCAAGGCACACGGTCATACTTCCCCCCGCGTCCATCCTCTTTCACCGCGCCGCACCGTTGTTCGAACTCACGCAAATGGGAAAAACAAAAACTACATTCTGTGCAAGTTCCCCTTGGGCCCACTCGCACCACCGTTCAAACTCGCGTGAACGGGAAAAAAAAACTGCATTCCGTGCAAGTTGCCCGTGGGCCAGCACCTTGTCCGCCGCCAATTTCCCATAACAGGGGCCCCGGGTTCACAGCAGCGTCACCCGAGACCCGATATTCCCTTTATTATAGAGTATAGATAAAACTGCAGCTTTTTTTTCTATCAAAGAAAGAAAGAAAGAAGCTGGGATTGTTCAGATAATACAAATGTGTGGGGACGTACCATGCAGATGGGACTCAACACTCCCATTGGGAACCAGCTCGTAGACCAGCATTCTCATACCATCTTCGTGGCAAACTCCGAGAAGTTTCACCAGGTTTCGGTGGTGAAGTCTGCTCAGCATTTGGATTTCGGCAAAAAATTCACGCGCCCCTTGATAATCGTTCCGGATCAGCACTTTAACCGCGACCGGGGTTCCCTTTACCAGGACACCCTTGTAGACCTGCCAACAATGAACAAAAAAAAAAAGAAAAAAAAAAAAAGAGCCATTCAGGTGTGAGAGAAGTTGAGCGCGGGCAGTTCCAATATTTTTCCAATATTTTTTTAATCGAAGTTTGTTTGCCATGCATAAATCGAGACCATTCTTTTTTTTTGTGATTGTATTTCTGGTGTCGAAGAAGTTGCACTCGCTCAAATGTATTGAAAAAAAGAAGAAGCCATTCAGTTGTGAGAGAGAAAGTTGGGCGCAGGAACAACGGGCCTATTGCTCAGTTGGTACACCCAACTGTTGAAATACAGACCCAAGTTCGAATCCCGCTGCAATCAGATGAAGTTGGGCGCAGGCATTTCCCAGCTTTTCATGGAAGTTTGTTTGACATGCATAAATTGAGAAATGGTCCAAATTTATTATTAAAAAAAAAAAGCCATTCAATTGTGAGGGACGTTGGGCGCTGACGGTTCCAAGCTAGCTTTTGATTTTCATTTTTAAATGGAATATGCGAGGACTGAGCCCTCACGGGGCCCCAACAGACATGCAAGTGTTGTAGGTTGTGGGCCCCCAGCAAGCATTGTGCCCGCCCTATGTGAAGGCGGGCCTGAATATCCACAAGAGGCCTATTTTCGACAATTTTTCCATATGTGGGTATCAGAGAGTTGCAGTGCGCCAGTTGGTTACAAAGCAACGTGAGCCATTGCTGGCTCTCCTCAGAAGCAACAGCTGCGCTGCACAGTTGAGCCCAGGGCCTGGTTGGTTGCGCCCTGGGCACACTCAGCGGGAGGGCGACACATCACGCAGTGGCCGCGGACGAATGAGAAAGCAGCATTGTCATCACACAACCTCCGCGAGCCAATGAGAATGCAGCCAACACACTTGGAGCCTGGAAGACTACCTGCACGCGCCCAACTGAAAGGGCCCAGGCCGTAACTGCAGAGGTGGGCCTGGGCGCAGAAACTGGGGCCCGACCGGAAGCTACTGGAAACTTCCTCAGCCACGCCCGCGCACCCGGAACGAGGCCGCACTTTCCATAAAGGAAAGTGCCCTGGCCTGGTCAAGGCATTCTGGCCGTGGCAGGCAATGAGCACACACGCTGCTCCGTTGCTGCGCAAGTGTCTGCATGGGCGCTGCTGGTCGGACGTGCGCACGGGCGCTGAGGTGAGGGGCGCTGCTGAGGCAGCAGGTGCACAGCAGCCATAGCCGGGCAGCTGGGCGCAGGGCAGGTGATGGCGATGGTGGTCTTCGGGTAGGAGGCGCATGAAGAGGGGATCCAAGGGGTGATGAGGGGAGGAGAGAGAACGTACCTGGTGTACGCTGGTGGTTGGCATTGGTGTTGACGTCACGTACATTGGTCTTCGACTTCAAAGTGATCCAGTTGCAAGAACGTCGATAGGCTAGATAGGCTGCGTAGGATAGGCTGAGCACTGGGCGCCAGACAGTAAGTGCAACATTGGATACAGTGTTGGTGTGACCAGAGAGTGGCGACATTGATACCTGAGCTTCGTATGGCTCTTATTTGGATGGTATCTTGGTTCATTGCACTCTGCTTCGTTCATGACTACCTGAGCTACTTCGTGATTTTGCAACTTGGATTTCTGGAAAGGTTGCCTTTATTCCTTACAAATATAATGGAATGGTTGCCTTTTTTCTGGAAAGAAACAGGAAGTTTGTTTGACATGCATAACTCGAGAAATGGTCCAAATTCATTTCAAAAAAGAAAGAAAAAAGTCGTTCAAGGACATGCCATTTCCGTTTCATTTCCGTTTCATTTCTTTGTTTTCTATTTCCTATAAATATATATATAATATTTATTGAAATACTAGATGACCTGTTGTGGCTTCGCTTGCAAAAACAAATATGACGGGTCAACTCATTGATGCAAACTCTCTCTCTCTCTCTCTCTCTCTCTCTCTCTCTCTCTCTCTCTCTCTCTCTCTCTCTCTCTCTCTCACACACACACACACACACACACACACTGTGTGTTTCTGCGCACGTGTGTGTGTGCTTGTGTGCATTCGTGCGTGCATGGGTTGTCATGTCTGCTATGCACAACTCCACAAAAAGAGCATGACTGAGCCAGACTGTTTCACCGACTCATCAGGAGGTTGAACCCCGACAGTCTGCCCACGATGCATTTGCACGCTTGCACGCGTGCATGCGGCCATACGACATCATGTTCGCTATACACAACTCCACAAAAGCAGGCATGCATGAGAGAGAGAAAGAGAGAAAGAGAGAGAGGGTGTCTTTGACCATGAGTAACAGCAGTGCGACTGGGCCGAACGATGGAGCGGGTTGAGGAGTTTGTCCACGTAGAGTCCTTCGTCGGTTTCGCTAGGTCCGTTGAACTGGAGTAGGGTGAGGGCGCCCCCCTGCAACGGGCCCATGGCCAACAGGTACCAGGCGGTTCATTCACGACGGGCCCTCTTTCCAATAGCCGGGACGATCCAGGCCATCCGCGGTCCTACCGGCCCAACAGTGCAGATTGTCATGCGATCTCAAAAGTCTTAAGATCGTGCGGCGATCTGAACCATCGGGCGGGTAGGACTGTGGACGGCCTGGATTGTCGCACAATCTTAAGACTTTAAGATCATTCAACAATTCGAACCGTCGGGCCGGTAGGACCGCGGAAGGCCTGGATTGCCGAATTCTCACGTTAGGGATTTCTACAAGTGTAGGGATTTTCAGATTTCCACTTTTATGTTCAATTATTTGCTTGTTATTTAGAAAAATGGGGGTAGCTTATAAGTTATAACAAACTAGTAATATACTACTTACTCTTCCAAAGCCACCGACCCCCAGCACGTTGTCAGGATTGAAAGAGTCTGTGGCAGCCTCGAGTTCAGCAATAGTATACGCACGAGCAGATCCGGCGGCGAGCGACCCAGGGCCTGCAGCTGGGATTCTTGGCAATGCGAAAAGAGCACGCTCATTTCGCTTCGTGGAGGACATCTCACCTGCTAATTGTCAGGCACAGAGTAAAAGTGAGGAGGAAGGAATTGAGACCTCAACTGGTAATAACAGCGAGCAAAACAAACTTAAACAAAGAACAAAGAATTGAGAATTCGGATAGCATGGATATTAGAGAATGACACCTGTCTTGTTGCCAAATGATACACACATCAGCGGTAAACCGCTAGTACGATTACAATGGTCCGAGGGGTCCCAAATGGGCCTGTACAACAATCTGTGTACGGGGGTGTACATGGGCCCTATGGAGCGGTACAACCTATGAATGCACTTGGAGGTTCCTGTGTGCAGGACCCCCCTGATCGTGTCCCTCTCCTCATCCTCCTCCTCCTCCTCCTCCCGCTCCCATCCTCCTCCTCCTCCGGCTTGGGTCAGTCAGATTCCGCAGACGAACAAGATCCATGTCCGCTGGGAATGCACTTGCCTGCAAAAGCAGAAACAGAGAGAGAGAGAGAGGGTCCCCCTCCTCATCCTCCTTCTCCTCCTCCTCCTCCTCCTCCTCCTTGGGTCAGTCAGATTCCGCAGATGGACAAGAGCCATGTCCACTTGGAATGCACTTGCCTGCAAAAACGAGAGAGAGAGAGAGAGAGAGAGAGAGAGAGAGAGAGAGAGAGAGAGAGAGAGAGAGAGTACAAGTCACCCTCCTTCCTATCGTTGTCCAGTGGGCCTTTTTCTGCCCGTGCTTCCCCATGCTTGCCCCCCTTCGTTTTCTTCCTTATTACTTCATCTTCCTCAACGCCATACCTCCTCCTCCTTTTCCCTTTGACTACTACTCCTCTTCCACCTAGTCATATATAAATGACGAACATGCATGTGTGTATACAACAGAGAGAAAGGGAGAGGATCTCTGCTGCCCCCATTTGTCGTCCGTTGCACCTCCCCTTGCCACTACCGCCCCTTCTCGACATCATCATCTTCCAGTCCTCGTCCTCCTTGTCCCCCCATTCACCCCGTGCCCCTCCAAGACACTCTTCCAAGCACCTTTTCATGCTGCACCAAGTGCAATCTGGCTACCCAGTGGACGGGACACCACCACTACCTCCAAACCTCTTTTTGCCGAGGTGGAGTCAAACTGCACGGGGGGCGAAGCGCCAGCACGGCGTTTTTGTTTTCTTTTGGTTGGTGCCGCCAGCCATTGTGGTCATCCGGTAGCGCCCAACCTATGCGGTATAGGTTACTTTTATGACTTAGCCTCCCAGCCTGAACGGTAGCGGTGGTTTTTAATCAAAAAAAAAAAGAAAAAAAAAGTGGCTACCCTTGTCAACCACCACACATTGAGGAAAAAAAACACTGACGGCTCAAGGGTTTTCCCAATGAGTTCTTTTTTAGCAATCTGAAGGGGGGTTTCCAATTCGCATTATCAGGCGGTATGACAACCATGGGTGACCATTTTTCAAAGAGCTGAATAGGTGGCGTGGTGGTTTTCTCGGGTACCTTGCAATCTCAAGTGACTGCGTGCTTTTGTCCCCTCCCAGGAGTAGTGCTTTTGGACAGATTCATTCACTCGAGCAGCGAATTGGTTTGGTCTGGTGCTTTTCATCTCGAGGGACTATGTTTTGTGCCCTCCCTGTAGTAGTTTTTCCAGGTAGATTCATTCTCTTTGGCTGAATACAGCAGGTCTGCGGCTCCTAGGGCGGGCCGGTACGCCCATCGCGAAGTTACTATACAGGACCGCTCCGCTCGGTCGTACGTACGAGTTCCCATATTTGGGGTCTTGCTGGTTTGTCAGATCCTTTTCTACGTGTTGGCGGTACGCCCCCATGGCTCCTCTTGGTGGTAGTACCCGCCGCCAGGCTGCTCGCACGCGTACGAACTTCTGGTGAAGATGGGTTTTGATACAATGGCAGATGGTGGCCTCAGGATCTGCTCTTCGCAGACCTTCTTCTAGCATAGGGCACACGTTCTCGGGATCTCTCTGCCTGAAGATACGTTCTCTCCCCTTCCCTCTTCCCTCCTGCCTCTGTTACATGCCCAGATAGGCGATGTACATAATAACCGAGGATCCGCAATGTGATAAAAAGGACTGAATGTACAATGCAGTGCAAGTAGAATCTTAACAAGCAATGTGCATTCTGATACATACAGAATGGTGCTGAATAGCGCAGGGAAGACTTAGATACAAATCCTGACCTGACCGGGACTGACCTTATTCACGTAGTATAAGATAGCGAAGCAGAATGCTAGAATGCTAATGACTAGCCCAATCAATGTTTGAACGCAGACCAAACATACATCGTGTCCATCACAAAGTGTGAAGGAGCCTGGCGCTGTACACAGGAAGGAAGCGCCAGGTCCAGACATACACAGACGAAGAAGAGGGGGAGAGATGGGAATGTCGTCAACACCAAGTCTTTGTCACAAGTCCCAAATAATCCCTCGTTGCAATGTCTGAAGCCAAAAAGTCGAGTCTGGATCCAATGTCACCAAGCTCTCTCTCTCTCTTTCTCTCGTAGTCTGCTGATGCATTGGAGTCAGATAATGAGAGGGTGAGAGGAAGATGGTGGACTGAGAAGAGGAATAAGAAGAACTCTCTCTCTGTCACGAGCCAGATACTAACCTGTGAAGTTGGCGCTGTGCTGCAGGTACCTCGAAGACGAAGCTGGAGCAACGGCGCTGCAGGTAGGTACTCCTGGCCTCCGCCCAATCTCTCTCTCTCTAGCGCTATCCTAGCTATGGCGCCCAGTGCTGAAGACTAAAGCTACCTACTGGCGCCCAGCGCCGAACACTAATGCTAACGCTACTACTACTCCTGCAGTGCTCCCTCCAGAGTGCTGCTGCCGAATCCTGAAGACTACTGCCTCCTGCCTACCCGTGAAGTGCATGGGAAGTCCCTATGTACTATCTCGGCCTGCCTGCAGGGCGAGCCAGGCCGAGGAGGCTGCTCTTGCCAATGCCGAAGTGTGCCAGGGGCTGGAGCTGCAGCGTCTGCTGAGGCTGTTGTGGGAACAGGCTAAGAATAGCCTGTTCCCGAAACCCTGGTTCGGTGCCTGAGTTTCAGGGCCGGTCGTTCTGATGAATGACCGAAAATGGCCCTTCGTTTCAGGCTAAAAAGGCTATTGCCATTTTTAGTCTGAAACGACACAGGGTCTGTAGGCCCCTGTTTTTCAGGCTTTCGGGCTGAACAGATACGGGTGTAGGCCCTGGTTTTCAGGCTTTCAGCCTGAATTTCAGGCTTTCGGCCTGAGGGACGCAGGGCCTGGAAAATGGCCCTCGTGTGCAGGCGCAGCATGTAACACTCCCCCTCTCCCTCGGCCCCCCTCTCTCCTGTTTCAAACTCAAAATCGAACCACTCTTGCTCGGCTTGGATCACTGCTGCTTATTTCTGCTCCCCCTGACTATAAATACCTTTTCTTTCTTCCTTTCACCATGCTTCTGAGCTCTGCAAAAACGGTTGCGGCGGTCTCTATCTGCTTTGCTTCCTTGTCTTGCTTCCTTCGCCTCTAATCTCTCCTTCGGCCTTCTATCGCCTTTTCCAAGTTTTTCCCTTACCTTTCCTCTAATCTGGACGAGTATGAGGTGCTTTGTGAAGCTAGTTGCGACAGTGGCTTTGCGTGGATGATTTGGTCAGAGACTTTTTGGTAGCTCTCCAGTTCAGTTTTTATAGGAGGTTTCTTCGTTCTTTGGGTACGCGCCTCACAGTCCCCCCTGACGATTCCGCTTCTGGCGGGCAGATGAAACGCTGCGTAGGAATCAGCAATTAAATTATTAAAGTGAAAAAAAAGGACTGAATAATGATTACCTTGAAAAGAGATCAGTGAAGGCAAACAACCAACACCTGTGCCATGTTATGGTCTGTTTTTTCAACTTTTTTCCTAGTGTTACGATCCTGGTCATTCCCAACGTGCAAATTCACAATGAAAGACAATGCCACCCAATTGCAAAAGAAATGAAAGCACTTGCAAGGAGATAGAGACCAGAGAAGAGGGAAAGAAGAAGAAGAAGAAGAAGAAGAAGAAGAAGAAGAAGAAGAAGAAGAAGAAGAAGAAGATGTACACCAGCAAGACCAATGACAAATCCCCCCTTCTCTCTCCACCTTCCTCCTCCTCCTTCACTTCACCAATCTTATTCTTCCCCCAATAATAATAATAACAACGAGTGGGTGAACCAGAATCAATATCCGAAGTTCCCTCTTACTGCTGACTCAACAACAACAACAACAACAACAACAACAACAACAACAACAAGTCCACCATAGCTATGGCTTCCCTCCTTCTTCCTTCTCTCACATGCCTAGGCTATAGCGGACTACTGAGGGCCCTGCCCTCCTGTCCAAAGGACAACCCAAAGCAGCTATGGCGCTGCACTCCTGTCCAAAGGACAACCCAAAGCAGCTATGACGCTGCGCTGACTAAGCCGCCATGCCTGACTCTGCCTCGAGCTTCCTTGGTGCGGCACTACCCCAACAGGGGCCTTCCAGATGCAGCGCCCAACAAGGTGATGAAGATGGTGTCCACCATAGCCAGGTAGGTGCCTCGCCACTCTCCTCCTTCGCCCCCCTTCTTCCTCCTCCTCGGGCTGGGCTGCTCGCCATAGCCAGGCTGAGCGCCCAGCTGCCCTTCACCTCCAGGCAGCGCTGTACCAGTCCAGCGCTCCGCTCAGCAGCATGTCGCCAATCCTTGCATACCGCAAATGAGGAGGAGCTACTTGCTCCTCCGGAAGATATAGCRGCCTACTGGCCTCTTGGGCGGTGACTTCCTAGGCCGAGCGGCCTCCCAGCAACCGGTACCTCCTGCCTTTCGGAGGGAAACATCATTGCAGGCTCTGCTATCGTCCGGACAGGCCCTAGACCCGGGCTACTTGGACTGGTACCGGCCTACCTCTATCCTACTGCTACTGGGCCTCCAAAAATGCCAACTTTTTGTCTTCTTCTGCTCGGCCTCCAGTACCTGACACTCCTACCACTACTTGAGTGGTACCGGCCCACCTGCTACTTGAGTGTTTTTCCCCGCTGCTCTAAGTGCCGTGGGCCTACCCCCGCTACTTGAGTGTTTTCCCCGCTGCAACCCTCAAAGTCACGGCCACAGGTAAGTACCGGCCCTGCGGGGCCTTTCAACCAACAAGTACCCTTGCGGGTCACACACACACTCAGCCGACAAGCACTCAGACAGGCATGCAAACCAGCGGGCACGCACACACACACAGACTTGGAAACCACAGCAGAATGCGGGAATCTCAGCAAGGCATTCATTCCAGAAATCAGCAGTGTTCTCAGTCTGTGTTTTTGGTGGGTCATAACACTAGGCTACCAGAGTGGCCCGGGACCACTTGCCCAGCCAGGGCCAAAATAACAATAAAAAATAAAAATTAAAAAATAATTTTTACTTGTACTTTTTATTTTAAATGTGGTACAGAATTTCGATGTGACCCTGAGGCAAAAGTTGTTCACTTTATTTTTCTGCATAACGGAGTTCTTTTTTTTCGGATTTTTTGGATTTTATTTGTTTTTGGCTTGGACTTCCCTGGTCCTTGCACGGCCGGGCCACCCAGGAAAACAGGGTGACCCGGGCTGGTAGCCTAGCTTTTCCCTTCTTTGGAAGGGGTTAGCACGTAACGTTATGCTAGCAGGATTTGAACCCATGGCCTGTTTCTTAACAGTTACCTATGGGTACCATTCAGCCGCATGGGCTGGGTTTATGGTTTTTTGCATAATAGCAGGAGATGAGGGTGAAGTATTGGATGTTGGCTCTACTGGCTATCAACATGCATGCTATTACTGAGTTTACACCCTTGCTATTTATGTACTTGCGATTGCCATTCTTGCTATTCTTTGCTTTTTCCAAGAGTACAAAGGGAGCGAGAGGGAGGGAGGGAGGGAGGGAGGGAGGGAGGGAGGGAGGGAGGCAGGGAGCGGAAGGAGGAAACCGAGGGTGGAGGTAGGGAGGGACGGAAGGACGGATGGAAGCGAAGGGAGGGAGGCCAGGACAGAGAGACCAACATACTAATGGACAGAGGGATAAATGGATAGAAATCCACACACACACACAGAAGAGAGAGAGAGAGAGAGAGAGAGAGAGAGAGAGAGAGAGAGAGAGAGAGAGAGAGAGAGAGAGAGAGAGAGGGACAGTCACCGCACACTGGGTGGGATGGCTAACGAGAACAAGGGAGGGAGTGAAGGACAGAGGGAAAAAAAGGTGGTTCAGCAGGATGGGAGGAGTCCACGAAGGATGAAAATCACTTGGCGTGGCGGATTCTCGCTCACCTGGTCTTCTTGGCCGACCATTCTTCTTTGCACTGGCTGCTGCCGTCGCCCTTGCCCTTTTCCGTTTGTGTTGTTGTACTAGGAAAATACATGCTACACAGCCTAATAGGAATGCAACTGCGACGATAGATGAGAAGACAATGACTGGCACAAACCACGCCGGTCTGTGCCAAGGTTTTTTGGACATCGCTTCTGACAAATAGGAAGGAGTCAACGGGCTCTCAATGGATGGACTGGGACTGCTAATCTCTGATGCACAGAAAAGTGAAACAAATCCAAACAACCAAAGAAACACAGACACAGAGTCATTTCATATTTTATTATCTAATATTTAATATGTATCCTTTTCAGTAAATCACAATCGCGCTTTAAAAAAGAAAAGAAGACACACTCGTGTTGTGCGCCATCTGCTATGTGGCGTACTGTAGGTGCGGGTGTGTCGAAAAGGGTTGCGGTGCTCTGCACCAAAACTGTTAAATAAATAGACTTTGAAGTTTGAAAGCAATTTAAAAAAAAAAAAAAAAAAAAAAAAAAAAAAAAAAAAAAAAACAAGGTTAAAAAAAAAAAAAAAACCAAAAAACAGGCAAGAAGTCCGGCTTTTTTTTTTTTTGTCCACAATCCCGTGTCTGAAGCTACGCCCTACTTATTTTTCTGAAACCTCCCTCACCCCCCAACCCACCAACACCTGGAAGAATCTTTTTCATGGCTGTTTCCAGGTCTTCGGTGCATGCACAGAACGGCCCCGCCTTCCATTTCTCCAAAAACTCGGCCAATGGGGCAACGGCGAGCGGTCGGCGGCAGATGAGTCGTCCGTCGCCGTCCTCCATTTGCCAATACGCTAAACCTGCTCACAAGTGAATACTCTTCTTTGTTTCCACTTCTATCTACTCTCTTCTTCCGTCCAAGAGAGTCTCTGGTGCTGGAACTCTCAATGAAACTTCCCATGACCTGGGATATAACGCGATAGGACTCTGGTCCTATTTGTTTGGTCCCCGGGAGCATTAATATTCCGTTGTCAGAGGTCGAATTCTTGGATTTATGGGCCAAAAAAGGGATTGGAGTAATGATTAATAGAGACAGTCAGTGAAATTCGTATTCCATTTTTTGTCGGAGGCAGTGTTGCATACCCCGACAGTCCGCACCCCTTGACTGGTCGGATGCCGACCACCTACCGGTCAGTGGTCGTCAGCAGCCCGTAAAAAAAAGAAAAAGAGGGAAAAAAGGGTCCAGAACCCCCCAATAACCCCACCAACACCCCTATACCCGCCCCCTGTACCTCCATACACCCCCTCAAAACCCCCAAACCGCCCCCTATACCTCCACACACCCCCTCAAAACCCCCAAACCACCCCCCAACACCCTCATACCCCGCCCAATACCAACTATACCAACCCTATAGCCCCCTATACGCTCCCCCCCACAACCCCCCCCATCCCCAAAAGTTTCTCTGTGGATTTGGGCTGTACTCAGCAATTGCAGTACAGCTCCCAACTCAGATAACAAAAAAAAAATCAGTGAATGACTGTTTTCTGACTGGCCGGCATACCACCCACCGGTCGGCTGACCACGCACCGGTCGGCGCTACTGGTCGACTGCAAAACAGTCGGCGGTCGGGGTCAGCGGACGGCAGCTATGCAACCGTGGTCAGAGGTGAAATTCTTGGATTTATGGGACAAAAAAAGAAACTTTCCATGACCAGATAGTCCATGGTTCGCTGAGGAGAAAGAGGAAGAGGGGGACACCTGTTCCCCAAGTGGACCCAGCACGGCGAAGCCGCGCCCCAGTCCTATCTATACACGGCAGGAAGGGTGGCCATGTCAGTCTGCGTGTGTGTGTGTGTAGGATGCGCAAAATAGCCACGAATCAGCAGCCAGAACATGGAAATATACACTGGCACTGTGCCACGCTTTTTTTTTTTTTTTTTTCATGTGTGCATCAACTGAGCAGTCTGGCAATGTGCAAAATGAGAAGGAATCTACCGCAAGAGAACAGAGGAAGATACACCGCGACAGACAGATACATTGAAAAGAAATACCGGTGTGAGTATGGACTAAGGAGCTGTCAGATGCAAATGTCGCCAAGCTGTCAGATGCAAATGTCGGCACGAGAGAGAGAGAGAGAGAAAGAGAGAGAGAGAGAGAGAGAGAGAGAGAGAGAGAGAGAGAGAGAGAGAGAGAGAGAGAGAGAGAGAGANAGAGAGAGAGAGAGAGAGAGAGAGAGAGAGAGAGAGAGAGAGAGAGAGAGAGAGAGAGAGAGAGAGAGATTTCCATTCATAGGATGAGAAAAGTGGAAATATACACTGCCCCATGTTCGGTCTTTGGCAGAAGATGGGGACGATCAGGAGGTGGTCAAGGGGCATGAGAAATTTACGTTGAAAGGATAGCTTCCACGCACCTGGACACTCTGGACACCCTATTTGATTTACAGCGTATGAGCCGAACATTGCAGCATCGAGTTTGACACTTCGACTGCGAAGCGCAGCGTCAATCCTGTTAACTTCAGATTCTGGCAATCTATCGCCGTCCTTGGGCAACAGCAAGAGCGTTACGTCCACAGATTGGGGATTGGAATACTTGCCGTCAAGAAACCTCACAACCACCTGATCCAGTGACAAGTCTAACCCCTTTGAAATCTGCTTTTGGAAATCGCTCACATACTTCACAAAGAATGTTGCGTTGGTTTCCAGGATAAGGATCACCCTCATTGGCCAGACACAGTTGCAGCCTTTACTGGATGGCTGATTCCATTTGTCGCTTTGGCATTTGCTGCAATCTACACACACACACACACACATACACACACACACAGAAACACGGACACATGCCCCCCCCCCAACACACGCACCCACGCATCCTCATGAGCCAGCACAAGCATGTGCACAGACATAGCAAACAGCAATTGTACAGAATGAGGCAACGCCACACGACACACACACACACAAAACACACACACACACACACACACACACACACACACACACACAACACACACAAAACACACACAAGACCATGAGATGCATGCAAAAAGACATGGCAAACAACAGTTGAACAGATTGAAAAGATCCTAGCTTCAGAGCTTAGGTACGTGCCTTCCGTCCAATGGCGCACATGAGCATGACGATTGCATTCAAGAAAACTGCTCTATACAAGTTAATGCAAGACAAGAGTGGTGCCCGCATGTCTCCAATTTGGGGGAGGCCTGACAGCTGCCAGAATAAACTGAAGGGCTGCAAGTTCGGGGTAGAGGGTCCATGGTTCAGAGGCTAGTATTCATTCATTCAAGCTTCCGATTTGGCATCAAAGCTCAAGGCTTGGGACCAGAAGTGAAGGTCTGGGACCAAAGCCTCACTCAAGGCTTGGGACCAAAGTTGAACGTTTGGACCAAAGTGAAGGCTTGGAGTCAAAGCTGGAGGCTTGGGTCAAAGCTGAGGGCTTGGGATCACAGCTGAGGGCTGGGGGTCAAAGATGGAGGCTGGGGTCAAAGATGGAGGCTGGGGTGGGACCAAAGCTGAAAGGTTTCGGACCAAAGCTCAACTCTTGGGACCAAAGCTGAAAGGTTTCGGACCAAAGCTCAACTCTTGGGACCAAAGCTCAAGGTTTGGGACCAGAGCTGAAAGGTTTAGGACCAAAGCTCAAGGTTTGGGACCAAAGCTGAAAGGTTTAGGACCAAACCTCAAGGCTTGGGACTAAGGCTCAAGGCTTGGGACCGAAGCTCAAGGCTTGGGACCGAAGCTGAAAGATTTGGGACCAAAGCTGAAAGATTTGGGACCAAAGCTGAAAGTTTGGAAGCAAAGCTCAAGGTTCCAAACCAAAGCCCAAAACTTAGGGTCAAACCGAAGACTTGGGGTCAAAGCTGAAGGTTTGGGGACAGGGCAGAAGGTTTGCGGGTTTGGCCCTCAGTCACAGACCCCATTATGTTTTACCAACCACCCTTGTTAAACAGAAGGCGTGATTCTTTTCAGTTCGTCTGTTGGATTCATGATCAGCCGAAGCTGAGGCTGTTTTTACTGGCCCAAAACCATGCCGCAGGCCAAAAAAAAAAAAGGTGCGGGCTTGATTTCTTTTCTTTTTTGCCTGACGGCGTCGCCCATTTGGTCCAGTAGCCCCAAGCGTCCGAAAGTTTCGGATGTATGCAAACTCGCTTCTTTTTTTTCGCCTGGGGCACGTAGTCATGGTTTAAGGCAAAAGAGCTCAGCAGGCACTGGTTCCATTTGAAATGGCTCAGCTTCCCCTATATACAAATTCAATTTACCTACCTGCCCCCCATGCAAATTCAAATGACCCAGATGACCCCCATAGAAATTGAAATGACCCTTTTGTTGCCTGGCGCATGTTGCGGTGGTTTAAACAAACCGCCAGTACACGGCCCCAGCCTTGCAGAAACTTGTTCATCCCCTCCTCCGAAAATTTCATGGCTCCAAAAAAAAAAAAAAAAAAAAAAAAAAAAGTTTGGTGGGCAGTCCAGCGCCTCTCCGGGCACGGGGCGCACGGGTGGTCTACACTACCAGTACATGGCTCCAGCCTAGCTGAGAATCGGATTGAGCCTCCTCTACTAAAATTTCGGAAGCTCGGGACATGGTGTTCCATAGGCCCAGTAGAAAGAACAATTGTCCCATGTGGCGTGTGGGGTGGCACTAGGCCCAGTCCTGAACAAAAAAAAAAAATCCACCCATCCCCAGGCAGACCACCCCACTAGGCCCAGTCCTGAACAAAAAAAAAAAAATCCGCCCATCCCCAGGCAGGCCAGGTCCCGCCCGAGTCCCCTGACTTTTCGGAGAGGCTCATTTGAATTCTCCAGATGTAATGGTGGTTTAAGGGGAAACAGCTCCGCAGGCACTGGTTCACGTTGAAATGGCTCAGCTGGCCCCCATACAAAAACTGAATGGACCCAGTAGTCCTTCGGGACATCCGTTAAAATTGGAACGATACAGAGACTGAAGATTAGCATGGCCCCTGCGCAAGGATGACACGCTTAAATCGAGAAACGATCCAGATTTTTGGGGAAAAAAATAAATAAATGAATATACCCCCCCCATCTTCCCCCCATACAAATCTAAATGACCCAGCTGAACCCCAAATAGAAATTCAAATGACTCAGCAGCTCCTGATTCAAAAAGTGAAATGAAACAAACCATCTGGCCCCACAATTCCAATTGAAATGATGACCAGCTGGCCCCCCTCATTGGAGTTAACGGATGTCCCGAAGGACTACTGGGTCCATTCAATTTTTGTATGGGGGCCAGCTGAGCCATTTCAACGTGAAYCAGTGCCTGCGGAGCTGTTTCCCCTTAAACCACCATTACATCTGGAGAATTCAAATGAGCCTCTCCGAAAAGTCAGGAGACTCGGGCGGGACCTGGCCTGCCTGGGGATGGGCGGATTTTTTTTTTTTGTTCAGGACTGGGCCTAGTGCCACCCCACACGCCACATGGGACAATTGTTCTTTCTACTGGGCCTATTGCAAGGAACATGAGTATGGACGAAGCACAGAAATCCAGAATGCAAAATCACACTGAAGTCCAAGTATTCAAAGCCAAAGCAGATAGCACATGGAACCGAGTAACCATCCAATTGAGAATGACACAGAAGAATCGTGAGTCAATGTCCATGCCCATCAGGGCAACACCAACAGCATAACCCAAATGTAGCTCTCTCTTGTGAATGGCGCCAGGAGCCCTATCTACTCTACCGCCTATCCTACAACTACAGCAATGAACAGCAACCAGACAACTTGACTACCAGCGAGTGATGATGTCAACACCAATGCCGTATTCCACCATCACCAGGTACGTGTCATCTTCCCCACACTCTCCCTTGTTACCCACACAGCGCCCTTCACCTCCGAAGTACCACCTTCGCCCTCACCTCCCCTGCACCCTCATGCGGCCCAGGCTATGGCCGCCAGTGCCCTCTGTGCAGGCAGCGCCCTACCGCCTAGCGCTGGCCTGCTTGCTCTTAGCGCAGCACTGCCTTGCACAGCGCAGCACACATGCATCCGCGCAGCGTGCCCGCAAGTGCCAGCATTGGCCAAGATGCTTGCTGCCTCGCCCTGCTTGCCTATATGCCAATGCAGCATGTGGGTGGCCTCCCTTCAGCCTGCGACCGGGACCCAGAGGCTGAAGCCTTCCTGATACAGTTGGCCCCCGGAGCAATGCAGTTGCGCCTTTCTTCTCAAGGCCTGCGGCCAGATTCAGATAGTGGGCCGATTTTCCCTTTGGCATTTCGGCCTCTCTACCCAGCATGCATTGTCGGCCTCACGTTCGAGTGCCCAGGGCCTAACTAACTCAGAGGCCCTATTCATTTCAGCATTTGCTGAAATCCGAGACTCGGTGCACTCCAACCAACTGGCTTGCTGCAACTGCATAGACCCCACTTCGTGAAATGTTGGCCGAGAGGGCTCTTGTTGATTTGCTGGCCCGCCTTCACTTAGGGCGGGCACTAGGCTTGCTGGGGCCTTAGCCCAGAACATGTACATCATGGCAAGGCCCCTACTTGAGGGCTCAATCCTCACATTCCATCCCCCTTAGCTTCGAAAGTCCGCTGACATGCTTACTTCGCAGGTGCCTTCCCTTTTAGCTTCCATTCATAATCTGCCACCACCTGAGGAGCTGTTTCCATCAGTTCCTCCCGAGTAAACCACCGATCTTCTTTAGGATCCGTATGATGCCTGAATCTGATCCGGTACTCTCTCTTGGGTTTAGGAGGTCTTCCTCGACCCAACGGTTTCTGAACAGGCATATCCCTGTGTTCCACAATGTCGTCGATGTCGACTTGTCCATCCAGGGTTGGGGGCAGCATCGATCTCCTGGAAGGGAATTGATCAGTCTTAGCGAAAGGTGCAAGCTTTGAGGCATGAAAGACTGGGTGAGTGCGTAGGTGTCCAGGGACACAAATGACATATGCGGGATCATCCAACTCATCTCCCACTACATCCAAGACTTCCCAGGGACCAAAGTACTGAGGCATCAGTTTGCGAGATATTCCGAATTCCTGTCCTAACTCACTAGCCTTGACCCAGACACGTTCC